ATTTAATAAATTAAATGGAGCACTGTTTTTCAGGACAATTAAGCACATTTTACCCTCAAACTTTCACTACTGTAAATTTTTCAATCCCATTCTTATTATTGTATTGCATCCTGAAGTTTTACTTTTACTGTTCCATGTATTTCAATTATGATTTTCATTACTGTAATACAGTAATTTTTTTACTGTACTATTATCTTAAACAATACTGTTGCACAAATAAGTTTTTATTTAAATCAGCATAAAATAAAATATTTTAATTTAAATCAGCATGAATTAAAAGAAGTGCCACAAATAATAGCATGATATATAAATACTTTTAATCATAAATAATTTTGTTTGTATTACAGCAATGAGATTTGGGGGTAAAATATGCAATATTGTCATGAAAATCATGTCATAATGAAAAAAAAGAAAAAAAAATTCTGTACCAAGTAAATGAAGTGAATGAAACAAATAACTTAATCATTGGGCAACTGTGATAAAAAGCTTCTCCTATCGTATTTCTGAAGACAGCTGCAAAATTTGAAGGAGGACTTCAGCTGCTGAGCAATGCAAGAAAAAATTGGTATATTTAGAGGTGACTCTATATAATCGTGATCACTGCTTCCCTGCATTTCATCATGCATATCCTTAATGAAAGTGCTAATGAAGAAGCATTTCCCATGCAAGCACACCGACATTCACAAAAGCTCAAATGTTCATTTGGCCTGTATGGACGGTTTCCAGCTGTGCTGCATGCAAAACTGGGCCCTTCAATATTTGCTGTTCGCCTGCCAAGGTATTCTGCTGCAATGAATCAGTCCAGCACAGAAATGTTGACCAGGCTCATTTTCAGGCCTACAGAACTGCATGAAGAACAAATCAAGGCATGATAAAACAGTAGCCTACTCACTTTCTCTTGTACTCATCCCGCTCCCGTTTGACTTTGGCCAGAACGTTATACAAGGCTCTCAGTTCTGGGGTGATGGTGTCGATTTGGACCCCAACCCCGTCCGGATGGGTCCAGGTGACCCCGGGTCCCTGGACAGTCTTCACGCGCTCTCCGTGTCTCAAAATATGCGTAAAACTCCAGATGGTGCCTGGAAGTCTGGATTCCCGAGAGTCCGTCTGGACAGCGACTTCACGCGTGAAGGTGAAGCCCGGGTGCCTCGGCTGACTGGAGGCTTGCTTCAGCTGGCTCTCCAGAAGTTTGTTCCTTCTCTCCAGCTCATGGACTTTGGCGAGGAAGCAGCGGAACCTCAGATTGAGGGTCTTGAGAACATGGATGTTGAATCCCAGGTCGTTGCGCAGCGCTCTGGGAACCGCGTCCGACGGCGCGCCGCTCACCACACCGCCCAAAAAACCTTCTCCAAACAACAACGAGCTCATGGTTTCATACAAAAATAGATATCGGTGAGCTTTAATGACTTCAATTCAAAGCTGGTGTGTCCATGCAGTCTTCTTCTCATGCGTAAAAAAACCCCTAAGTATCATCAATTGATTAGAAACAAGCAATGCAATCATTATCTGTCTATAATTCCAGGACGCATCATGTTCTCCATGGAAACGAGCAGGAATAACGGGTCTGTATGTCAGCTCATTTCTGAAAGTCCGGGACATCTGGAGAACTGCGACTCATCTCGGTGATCGTGAAGTCCAAACTCTCCGATCACACTGATATTGTTCTCACAGTCTCTTCCGCTGGACTCGCGCTACTGTTTTATACCGCACGCTACCGGCGCGACGGGATCGAGTTTCATACTCCTCAAAGAGGGAGATCCGCAGCGCACTCTCCGCCCCCGGGACGCGGAGAAGCAGGAGGGAGGGAGTGCAGGAATATGGCAACATCGCCCCATCAAACAAACTCCAGCACGTTTTATTTCTTCAAACTGCAAGAGTGAATTATTATAATCTGATTTTAAAGACCCGCTGCCATACAAGCGCTTTAAAACTAGGCCTACTAACCGATCAATAAAAATAAAAATAACAACCATACAAGAGGCTCCAGGATATTTTATCAATGTTTAACAATGAATGCATTCATTATTAAAGGTTGATCAAATATATTATTTAATATTTTATCTAAATAAATGCAACTTATATGTTTTCAGTGTTAACTAAGTATAGCCAAATAATGTATTATTAATTATATTAATATTGATAAAATATACTATTTGATTTTTTATCTAAATATATACAATTTATATCTTATTAACGATGAATTATTAATTATGTAACTATTAATAGCCCATATGAATTTATATTTTATCTAAATATATACCATTTATATTTGATCAATGTTTCATAATTAATTATTTAATTATTAATAACATTATTTTGACAAAATATGTTGATATTTGATCAATTTTTATAATTAATTATTTAACTATTAATAATAGCCTATTAATATTGCTAAAATATATGACTTAATATTTGATCTAAATATATACAATTTATACTTTATCAATGTTTAAAATAGCTATTAATAATTGACAAATATTTTACATATGATTTGTTGTTTATCTAAATATATAAAATTGATATTTATTCATGTTTAATAATTAATCTTTTAATTGTTAATTATATTGATATTGATAAATATATTATTTTGATTTAAGATATCTATCTATCGATCTATCTATCTATCTATCTATCTATCTATCTATATATCTATCTATCTATTTATAATTTTCAATTATATATTTAGCAGACGTGTAATTATTTGAGTTATATATTTATATTGTAACACTGCTTTCTGACTGCAACAAATTCACATTTTCAAGTTTTGCTCATTGCAAAAACATAACCAGCTCACTGAATGTAAATCTGTGATTAATTCAGACTCATTGGTCAGAGTTGAAAGGTTCATACCTCAGTTAATATTAATGATGGGCATTAAATGTGAAAGTGAGAGCAAGCTCATTAGCAAATTCATAAATTAAAACTGTAAGGAAGGATTATATAACTTTTACATGTTGCGGCAACACAGAGTTTGAGTGTTTGCATTTCACCAAATGACTGATGAATAGAATCAGACATTACACAAGCATCTACACCTTAAACCTGCCCTGGCTTGAAGTCTGTTTAAGCGCTCTGCACATATGCACAAAACACACCCAAGCATTTCTGAGGATCATGTGTAATTTTTGCATTGGTTTGATCCATTTTGTCCATCAAAGTTTTTGGGAGTGCAGTCATGTCTGCTACAAATCCTTTCATTCAGATGTTAAGTGCCCATGTGAATCCATCTGTTCTCATACAAATCTATAACAAAAAGGCAGTCCCTCTAATGAGTTTTAACTGTCTGGGAAAAGAGGTCTTGTTAGGGAGAAATAATGTGTTGAAATGATCAGTTCTGGTCATTTTCTGCACTGTTTATGTTGTGTTGTGACTAGTGTGTGATGTGAAAAGTACAAAGAAATTGTACTTATTTTAAATACAGTATGTTATTATTAATATTAATAATTAATATATTAATATCATTAATATTATTTATATACTGTACCAACATTGCTTATTTAAAATCAAAGTATAAAGTCAAAAAGCCATATTTAAGTGAAATTAAAAAGTTTGTATTTCATTTAATTCGCTTCAAAGGCCAGATGATATTTCCCTATAAAGTACAGTACTTGAGTGGAAAAAAATACTCAAAATAATACTTAAGAATAGTAAAGTGAAACGCCTGGTTGGCATTCACTGGAAAAGTATTCATGGTCCATCTCTGTCTCTCTGGATTAAAGAAATGTCTTCTCGTTTAGCAATGGAAAGACTAACTTACTCAAACAAACAAAAAATGCACATATTTTAAAAGATCTGGGATTGAACGTTTTCTTAGATCAGAATGAACTGACTCTTGAGTAATACCAAATAATGTGATCATATGACAGTTGACTGTGAACTGTGTTTATGGCACATTTGAACATATTTTTTGTTTTTCATTGGTAATTAATTACATATGCTGAACTGTAATTTTCTTAATGTATTTTACAATAATGGCCCCCTTTTTTTTGGTAGTGCTATGTGTAAAGGTTTCTTATGGCTCTTATGTCGTGCGGGTGTTCTTTGGTTGGAGTTTGGTTACTGTTACAGAATATACTGTATGTAATTCCTTTTCTTAATGTTTGGAAACAATAAAAAGTATCAAAACAAAGAATAGTAAAGTGCAATTAATCAAGTACTTAATTACCTTGACTGTGTGTTTAATTTGTTATGTTTATTTGTTGATAGTTACTATGTAAACTAGTTGCTATATACTTTTTAATATACTTTTAACATATATTTTAAGTTCAATAAGGTGTTTATTGACAAAATGTGGCAAATTGACAAAATAAGGTGTTTTTACGCTTTGCATAATGTTAAAAATTGCATACTGTAAAAACAATAAAAACTTTAAAACCTTTAATAAAATAAAATAAACTTGTGTATCTTAGAATATCATGGGAATAAAAGAGAGTTACAGAAGTAGTTCACTTCATTTACTCACCCTCCACTTGTTAAAAAACCTGGATAAGTTTCTTTCTTCTGTTGAACACAAAAGAAGATATTTTGAAAAATGTTAGTTATCCGAACAGTTGATGAGCACCAGTGACTTCCATAGTAGGAAAAAAAATACCATGGAAGTCAATGGTGCCCATCAACTGTTCGGATACAAAATATCTTCTTTTGTGTTCAACAGAAGAAATAAACTCATACAGGTTTGGAACAAGTGGAGGGTGAGTAAATGATGACAGAATTTTCATTCTGGAAGTGAACTTATCCTTTACTGTATAAATCTATTCATATTAATAGTGCGTGTCTTTAATAATACCACAGTTATGCAGCGCCTCCTGCTGATTTACAATAGAACTGTCTTCTAATTATAGTACATTATATTATATATAAATCCAACTCTGGCTTATGAATATTAATGACCCCACGCATAGAGTTCGTCCAGTGATCTAATTAATATTCATGAGCCCCAGCGAACACCACTAGGCGGCGGTGTGCTTCCTCGCAGTTTGTGAAGCGCTCTGAGATCATCAGGCGAAGAAGAAAACACCGAGACCGCAACGTGAGAGCCATGCCGAAATCCAAGAGGGACAAGAAAGGTATTCATTTAATGTTTGAATTTGTTTTTATCACTTATTATTACTCAGTTTTACACGGCGTTCATTAAAATGACTCGAGGTTAGTTCGTGTTGCTTGGTGTAACGTTAGTTAAAAAGAGGAACCTGTCAGAGATTTTAAACGTATTTACATTTTAATAGGCACAGTACTGAAATAAAATCATGTTTGTTACTTGTTGCTCAGACTTTAGTGTATGTGGTTAAACTGTAATTCATTTTGGTGCCATTTATTAATGTTATTGAAGCAGTTGGGTGTGTTAGAATTTGCTAATGTTTTTTGTGCTATCATTAATAATACTTTTTTTATAGTTTCTTTAACCAAAACAACCAAGAAGGGGTTGGAAGCCAAGCAAAAGCTGATTGAAGAGGTTAGTATGACTTTTTATTGCTATTTTGGGTGACACTACAAGCATATACCATGGTAATAACATGGTATTCTTTGAAGTACTTGAATGACAGCAGCACTGGAGCTGTTATGAACAAAACCTGATGATTATGTTCTCCAGCATGATTTGAGATGCTCTATGAAACAAGAAAATCTGCAAATCTGTTTTACATTCAGTTTTTCTTAGTGACATAAAGTGATATATTCCCTCTTGATAAGATATATTTGTTTTATATTTTTAATTGCTTATTTCCAGACCTAAATTAGATATGTAATACCATAAACAATAGTTTTATGATCAATTAAAATATCTCTTTCCATTTCTCACCCTCTCAGCTGCGGAAATGCGCAGACATCTACAGATATGTGTTTGTGTTCTCAGTAGAAAACATGAGAAACAACAAACTAAAAGACATCAGGACGGCCTGGAAACACAGCCGGTACACACACACACTCTCTCCATGATGCTTTTGATTTACTGATTTTATGCATTATTTTAGGATTTCTAAGAGATTAAGGTTGTATTTGGGTTTTGTGTTTCAGGTTCTTTTTCGGTAAGAACAAAGTCATGATGATCGCACTGGGTAAAGGACCGACAGACGAGTACAAAGATAATCTGCATAAAGTATGTTAGCGCAGGTCATTAATGATTTCATTGCTAATTTATGGAATTTTAAAAATGGCTAATTTTATGAATTTGATCAACTACACTGGCTTACACTGGTTTGTTTTGTAGGTGAGCAAGTTTCTCAGAGGTGAAGTAGGTGTTTTGTTCACAAACAAAACAAAAGATGAGGTTCAAGAGTAAGTTCGTTTAAACAACATTCAGACCAATTAATATGCTTTGACAATCTTAAACCTCTCCGTGATTAATTTCAGACTAGATGGACTGATATGTCCTTGTACGCTTGATTAACACAAGTGTTAATCTACCAACATCCTTAATTTGTCAGATTTTATCCTTGAATTCTAATAAAACCTAATGAATTCCTTTTTTCGTAAAAATTTGTTATTTCCACAGATATTTCAGTAACTTTAAAGAGGTGGATTACGCTCGAGCGGGAAACGTAGCAACCATGGCCATGACGCTGGATGAAGGTCCGCTGGAGCAGTTTCCACACTCGATGGAGCCTCAGCTCAGACAGCTGGGCCTCCCTACAGCGCTCAAGAAAGGTAAAGCATTAGTTAACATGATGACTATTACACAAACCAGTTCACCCAACAATGAAAAATTGCTGAAAATTTACTCCCCCCTCAGGCCATCCAAGATGTAGATGAGTTTGTTTCTTCATCAGATTTGGAGAAATGTAGCATTAAATCACTTGCAATGTATGTATGGATCCTCTGCAGTGAATGGGTGCCGTCAGAATGAGAGTCCAAACAGCTGATAAAAACATCACAATAATCCGCAAGTAATCCAGTCCCTCAATTAATGTCTTGCGAAATGAAAAGCTGCTGGTTTGTAAGAAACAAATCCATCATCAAGATGTTTTTAACTTCAAACCGTTGCTTCCTGCTAAATTATGAGTCCTCTATTCATAATATTGCATTCTCCAGTGAAAAAGTCGTCTCATCTGAATCAGGAGAGAAATCTGCACAGATCAAGCATCATTTACAAGCAAAAACAGTCCAAAACAGCTCTAAACAAATATGTGGATGGATGTTGATGTGAGAGACAACAGGGGATGGACTTTTTTACTGGAGGAAGCGTTATTATGGATTATGGACTCGTATTTTAGCTAGAAGAGACTGTTTGAAGTTTAAAAACGTCTTGATGGATTTGTTTCTTAAAAACCAGCAGCTTTTCACTTCACAAGACATTAACTGATGGACTGGGGTGCTGTGGATTACTTGTGGATTATTGTGATGTTTTTATCAGCTGTTTGGACTCTCATTCTGACGGCACCCATTCACTGCAGTAATGCTACACCTCTCCAAACATGTTGGATGGCCTTTTTAGCTAAATTAAATTTTTGGCTAAACTATTCCTTTAATATAATCATAGCTGCATCTGAAATTGTATTTTCAGAAGAGAATAAGTGTATTGTAAAATGTATTGTACAGAAAGTATTTTGCACTAACTAACATATTATCAATCCATCTGCAGGTGTGGTGACATTGATAAAAGATTTTGAAGTGTGTAAAGAGGGAGACACAATCACACCTGAACAGGCTCGAATTCTGGTGAGTTTGTACCACTAATACACTGCAAAAACTCCTTTTCTTAATGAGTATTCTTTTAAGTCGTAATAACTTAAAGGGGTCATATGATGCGATTTAAATTTTTCCTTTCTCTTTGGAGTGTTACAAGCTCTTGGTGCATAAAGAAGATCTGTAAAGTTGCAAAGACTAAAGTCTCAAATCCAAAGAGATATTCATTATAAAAGTTAAGGGTTAACCACGCCTACCTAAAACGGCTCGTTTAACCACGCCCCCACATGTCTACGTCACTATGTGGGAAGATTTGCATAACGCCGCCAAATGTTCACGCAAAGAAAGAAGGCGTTACTTTTATTCTCGCTGTAGTATTGTTGTTGTTGCCACCATGTCGTGAAGGCGCTGTGTTTCGTTGTGAAAGCGCTATCCGCTTCGTGATGCCTGGAGCTGATCCGTGCTGGTCATCAGAGCACACCTCGCTTTTCAGACCGATGAGCTTTGTAAAAATCTACGCGTTTCAGAAAGGCGGGGCATAGAGGAGAATACAGTATGTACAGTATGTGGAAAATAATGTGTTTTTTGAACCTTAAACCGCATAAACACATTTCATTACACCAAATACACCAAATAATGTTATTTTTAGCAACGTCATATGACCCCTTTAAGCAGTGTTGCTTCTTAAAAAAAATTTGACTAAAGAAAGACTAACACATTTAAGAAGTAATTTTTAAATGTATTACTTTAAAACAGTGCACTAGCAGACATCACATCTGTTTATTTGGATTAAATGCATTTAAAAAGTCCTTTCAGGTCATTAACTTGTTTGGATTTTAAAAGGGATTCATTCAATCTTGCATTATTCTAAAATGATGAAGTTTTGGCCTTTCAATTCAGAAACTCTTTGGAATCGAAATGGTGGAATTCAAAATATCAATCAAGTGCATGTGGAATTCTGAATCCGGGGACCTTGAAAAGCTGACGGACGGTGACAGCGATGAGACCAAGAAAGAGGAAACAGATGGAGACTCAGAGGATGGAGAAGGGAGTGGATAAAACCTGAACACAGGCAATGGACTTTTTTCGTGAACATTCGTTTTGTTCATCCAACATAAACCCATGAAACGTTTTATTGAGTGTTTTTCAGTGAGCTGCACATTACTGTCACAGTCATCTGCACACTGTTTAGTGTCTAATTTCAACTACAATTTTCTACAAAAATACAAGGTTTTTTAGTGTTAAATATAAGTTATTTTAGCAAGTTTTTGGCAAGAAGACAACAAAACACAGCGATTCATCAAGATGCCACTATTACATTATTTTTATTGCATTCTCTTGTAAACGTGGAAAAATCAAGTGTCAGTGAGCTCAGAAAGAGGTTTAATTTTGTCATTGTGTTTATTAGGAAGCAGAAGGCTAGTCCAACTCAATTTATCACTGTTCACTCACAAAATATGAACATAGAAAAATAAAGTGATCTCTATGTTAGTTCTTATAAATCAGGCTTCATATTATTATTATTATTATTATTAATTTCTCTGTTTGTAATGGGGTGTTTAGCGGAAGTAGTTTGGACATTCATGGGCCACTAAATCCCAGGCATATGTGAAAGCGTCCACGACTTCCTGTTTGAGCGGTCCTTCTGCTGCCGCTGTCAGGTTCTCACGCAGCTGCTCCATGCTGGACATCCCGATGACGACCCCGTCACCCAGATCACCCTGTAACCACAGACATCAGCACATCAAATATATCTCATTTATTTCTATTGTGACTTAAAGGGACAGTTCACCCATAAATTAACATTCTGTCATCATTTACTCACCTTCAAGTTGTTCCAAAACTGTTTTGAGTTTCTTCTGTTGAACACAAAAGAAGCTATTTTGAAGAATGTTGGAAACCAAACAGTTAACGGTAGCCATTGACTATGGAAGTGAATGGCTACCGTCAGGTGTTTGGTTACCAACATTCTTCAATAAAACTCATACAGGTTTGGAACAACTTGAGGGTGAGTAAATGATGACAGCATTTTCATTTTTGGGTGAAAAAAGTTAATTGCCAAGGCAACATTTCTCATTTTCCTTCAGTTTAACTTGATGCACTAAACTAACTAAAACTTATATATATATATATATATATATATACTGTACATGAGGAGTTCATTTGCAAAAACCGATAACTCCACTTTAATTTTTTTTCAGAAATCACGTTTTTTTTTTATTGCGCATTCCAAGTAATATCAATCAAACTGCAGTTGAGTTGTTTTGATTAAAGGCACAATATGTAAGATTTTTTTATTAAAATACCCCAAAACTACTAGAACAGTGTTATATATTTTGCTGACTTGTGTACTTACATTATCCCAAATGTTTCGAAGAATGTTTAAATCCAGAGAAATAAGCAGTTTTAACTAGTGACACGGACCGTTCAGATCGCACTATATGTGGAGAATAATGCACGGCAATCAGCTCTTTTTTTTTTTTAAGTGGCGTCTATCGGTTTTTGCAAATGAACTCTTCATATATATATATATGACTATAACTAAAACTAAAGTGAAAACAGAAAATGTAAAAAAAAATAAAAAATCTAATTCAAAATATTAACAAAAACTATAATAGTATATCAATGAGACTAAAATAACACAGCTCCCACCTTCAGATGAGAGTGATGATACATCCAGCGAATAGCAGCTGATGTCAGGGTGGGTTTCTCTGAGCCGTACGCTGCTTCCAGAGCCTTCTGAATGCCATCTATGCCTTTGAAATGACTCTCCTTCCAGTATCTGAAATACATGTGTCATGCCCCGGAAACATGATCACATTTAACAAGAGCAAAGACTTATCGTTAAAACTAACTAGATCTAGAGACTGAGGTCACACAGGACTGAAAAAAAAATTTAATCACTAATGCGAATATCACACATGAATTCTGAATTGAATGCACCTGTCTCTGTAAGCACCAGCCCAACTGTTCCCGAAGAATCGGCCCGCAGGCTGAGCGCCGTCTTTATCTTCATAGTGATATTTCCCAGTGAGAAGCCCACCTGTGAGAGGAGCGGATTCAAGGGTTTGAGAGAAAATATATGACATGCAATGTGAAGAAAATGATTTGACTTGTGATCAGTGTAAATTTACTGTGCATCATTTACAATTACGTTTTCCAATTATACAAAAAGTGCAAAAACATAAATGCTAGCTAAGAAATTAGCCCAAGAAAGACTAAAGAGACCAAATGATTTCAGGTGATGGAATGTAGTATTGCTATGTATTGTTTAATTATTTTTAACTATTAAATTAATGTTTATTATTTTTAGATATTTTATATACTTTTTTTTTTAGTGTATTATTGTTCTTATTTTTTGTTCATTTAATGCTTTTTCATTATTTTAATTCAGAGTAAATATTATTAAACAGCATGTTGGTTAACAAACAAGAAGAAACACTATTGTTATTAAACATAACAAGAAACAATGCATAATATATATAGCAGTTTAGTCAACAATGTTCTTCTGGTTGACTTTAGGTCTATTATTCATTAGGAACCAATTTATTATGTTTTGCAAATACATTTAAACAAATATTGAACGCATTACCTGCCAGGGGATTGTATGCATAGAAACGGATGCCAAAGTATCTCAAACATGGCAGCAGTTCGGTCTCCACTAGACGTGTGGTTGCATTATACATGCCCTTCAGAGGAAAACATCAACGCTGTTCAAAACTTCCATTAATTATTAAATAACACTTAATTGACAAATTTTAAAATAAATTTATATTAGTTCTTTTATATAGACTGACATCCATCCATCCGCTTACTTGATATACAGTAGGAAGCACCCAGTCATTGTGTTTGCAGATGCAGTAGATTTCTGCCACTTCCCATGATGCATAGTTTGATAAGCCCAGCTCTTTGAATTTGCCCTAAACACCAACAAAGTTGCATAATTCTGACAGCCTGTCTAGGTCAGACAGCCATAAACTATCAATAACTCACCTGACTGTCAGGCATCTGTCAAAGTGCACGTCTGACGGACAAAGTCTAGAGCTCTGTAGTGTGATTCACCTCTTTATGCAGCTCATCGCAGGCCTGTAGTGTGTCCTGAATGGGGTTCTGGTGGTCCGGCGCGTGCAGGTAAAACAGGTCCACACATTGTGTGCGCAGCCTCTTCAGGGACGTTTCCAGCTGATTCCGCACACTCTCTGGGTTGAGTGTTTTCCCCTCCCAGGGGTTTGCTTTAGTCGCAATTCGAACTGACAAAGACAAATGAAATGAAAGCACATAGCATGATTAAAAATATACTGCCCTTTTAGACTCCCCTTTAGATTTAGTGTTATTTTAGTATCATCGAGATACTATTACAATTTTTTATTAATATTAATATTTTGATTTTATATTTTATTTTAAGTTTTAGTATTTGTATTGTTATTTTTAATGTCTATAAAGTTTTTTATTAATTTAAATTTCAGTTTTAGTTATTTTAGTATTTCAAGTTAAATGAAATGAAATGAAAATGAAATTTTAAGTTATTTTATTTACATTTAGATGTATTCATTCATTTAGCAGACGCTTTTTTTATTCAGTTAATTTTTTTTTATGTTTCAGTTAACGAAATCGCTTTTTATGGCTTTAGTTTTAATGATAATAACCCTGATGTGATTACGCAAGAAACATTTAACGATCACAGGCATGAGTAAAAATATAATTTAATTTATTATTATTATTATTATGTATCTCATTTTGTTGTTTCTTGGTATTTTTAATTCCTTCCAGCATGTTTCTTCTCATTTGTCACTGCTTGACATGCTATATTTGTTTCTGAATTAAAATAATAATACATTAAAAATAAAATAGTATAATTATAATAATAAAAATGTATAACAAATAATACATTAAAATAATAAACCATTTTAAATAAATAACAATTAAATAATTAAAATACTATTTATAAATAATAAAAAAAAAATTCTAAACAATAATAAATACCTATTTAAAAAAGCAATTGGTCATCCAAGTACACGATCCATAAATGTACATTTTATGCACAGGCCTACTACTAAAAGTACGACCAGTATGGAAGTATGCTAATGTATACACGGCATATTCTTTGAACCTACAAATAAACATGTCACGTGATCTACCCACTCATTACTGTGGTGATCAGAGTCACTAGTTACAGTTTGGGAAGAGTTCTACCTGTTTTCGGAAGCTGCATGTTCCCTATGATGGTCTCCGCCTGTCCATCATTGTACATGAACGCGGTGTCCAGCTCATTGTGTCCGCGCTCTAAGAACACCTGCACCAGCCGCAAGCTCAGGTGTGCGTCCGCGCGGCCACCAAAAGCCATGGAGCCCAGCAGAGTGACGGGGAGTTTGGACTGAGACATGCTGCGGAGTTGAATAAAGCGTGATGTTTTGAGTCTGGCGAGAAATACGCGGTGAGCTGCACTCAGGCCTGCTCTGACAGCGCACTGCATAGTAAAGTTCCTGTAAAGCAGAGAGAAGGACTGAGGGGCCGTCGCGAAAGTGTCGGAATTGTGCGTAAACGTAGAGGTCCGCGCCGAGGAGTGCCATTGGTCAGCAAAAGGAGGTGGACATTTGAAAGTTCATGGTTCATCATTTGCCTTATCAAAATAGCGATGCGGGTTTCCCAAATATCATTTACCATGCTTTTAAGCGCATGCAATTCCCTTTGTAACCTGAAGATGTCAGCAGAATACAAATAACCCATAAATCGGTAGGGGACCAAAAACGTGATTTTCTGATCAGAATCCACAATTTGTCTAAACTTTGTGCGAATGTATTAGGAAAACTGTATATTTTAATTAGTTTTTCACTGCTTGTAATCACCTTTTGGCCTTTATTAGTTTATTTTAATGGTGTAGTGCAGTGATTCTTAAACAGGGGGCCTCTGCAAACTTCCAGACAGGGCCAAATAAGTCTTGCAATATTTCCATTTGTTTTTATCGACATAATTAAAATTAAAATTCTATAAAACACTAAAAAATAAACGTGTACAACATTACAATGACATCATATATATTTTTAACATTTTAATTTAGTTTATTACCGGTATTTTTATTCTAACATGAGGGAGCCTTTGAATATTGTTTTGGACAAGGGGACAAAAAAGTAAAAAAAGGTTGAGGATCACTGCTGTAGTGTGGAAAATATATTTTTAAAAGCACAAATATTAAATGCATTCTCTCAATATGAGATCATATTGTCAAACTGATAGGTAAGGTACTCAAATACAGAGTTTTCAAATTGTTTCATTACATCATTGCAAGTAATTATCATAAGCCAATAATTATGATTTAGGATTCCAAGTGATATTAAATCTAGCATTTAATTTATTCAGAATCCTCCATCTCATAAGAGTAATGCACTTTTCAATAAAATGGCAATTGATGTTTCATTTTGACTGGTTCAGAAAATGTACTAACGTTGCTACATTCATGACCTTTGAAGTCTTACATGACAAATGTTATGGAAAAACTCCCTAATAGATTTATTCTAGCAATTTAAGACTACAGTATTGGTATACATTATACAAAAATGCTCTGTCTTCCTTAGGAAAGGCATTACAAATGATCTGCGAACACCAAAGAATGTTAATGTTTCGTTGCACAATGTATTTCTCCTAATTCTTTTAAACATTCTTGAAAAGATTTCCACAGAATATTCCTGGAGTGACACGTCCACATGTGCTCAAAATACCAGCCGATGTTTTTATAGGTGTGTTTTAGTGTGGAACCACATTGTGATCATGGCAGAGGTGTTGAACCCTGGTTGGCACTGACCTCTAGAGTCGGATCAGTGCTGTTAGGGAATGTTTTCCAGGTTCTGTTGCCCCAGAATCTCTGATCCCAGCGCTGACCTCTGGATCCTTCCCCCACGCATACGACCCATCATGCTCTGCTTCGGCTGTGGCTCAGTGACCCCTCGACAGGCCCGTTCTGTAAGAGAATGTCACATGGTGAAGGTTTTGGAATATGGGTAACGCAGTGATGATTTGCTGTTATTTCAAGTGGACACCAGTGAAAATGCTTTTATTTAGATTTTTTTCTAATTTAATAAAATTTGTTTTATTAAAAATTTGTTATGATGATAATATTGCTAAATATTATAAGCAGAACAATTGTCAAAAGTTGAAGTGAAAAATTAATATTATACTATTTACTATTTTATATTATTACATTGCTATTTTAGAACAGCTTTTTGAATTTTTGTTGGATGTATATCATCAAATATTATCAACAGAACAATCTGAGTAAAAGTTGAAGTAAAAATGGTATTATTACATTACTATTTTAGAATCGCTCAGTACAGTGTAAATATTAAAGGGGTCATATGATGTTGCTAAAAAGAACATTATTTTGTGTATTTGCTGTAATGAAATGTGTTTATGCGGTTTAAGGTTAAAAAAACACATTATTTTCCACATACTGTACATTATTGTGAATATTGTTTTGGACAAGGGGACAAAAAAGTAAAAAAAGGTTGAGGATCACTGCTGTAGTGTGGAAAATATATTTTTAAAAGCACAAATATTAAATGCATTCTCTCAATATGAGATCATATTGTCAAACTGATAGGTAAGGTACTCAAATACAGAGTTTTCAAATTGTTTCATTACATCATTGCAAGTAATTATCATAAGCCAATAATTATGATTTAGGATTCCAAGTGATATTAAATCTAGCATTTAATTTATTCAGAATCCTCCATCTCATAAGAGTAATGCACTTTTCAATAAAATGGCAATTGATGTTTCATTTTGACTGGTTCAGAAAATGTACTAACGTTGCTACATTCATGACCTTTGAAGTCTTACATGACAAATGTTATGGAAAAACTCCCTAATAGATTTATTCTAGCAATTTAAGACTACAGTATTGGTATACATTATACAAAAATGCTCTGTCTTCCTTAGGAAAGGCATTACAAATGATCTGCGAAGACCAAAGAATGTTAATGTTTCGTTGCACAATGTATTTCTCCTAATTCTTTTAAACATTCTTGAAAAGATTTCCACAGAATATTCCTGGAGTGACACGTCCACATGTGCTCAAAATACCAGCCGATGTTTTTATAGGTGTGTTTTAGTGTGGAACCACATTGTGATCATGGCAGAGGTGTTGAACCCTGGTTGGCACTGACCTCTAGAGTCGGATCAGTGCTGTTAGGGAATGTTTTCCAGGTTCTGTTGCCCCAGAATCTCTGATCCCAGCGCTGACCTCTGGATCCTTCCCCCACGCATACGACCCATCATGCTCTGCTTCGGCTGTGGCTCAGTGACCCCTCGACAGGCCCGTTCTGTAAGAGAATGTCACATGGTGAAGGTTTTGGAATATGGGTAACGCAGTGATGATTTGCTGTTATTTCAAGTGGACACCAGTGAAAATGCTTTTATTTAGATTTTTTTCTAATTTAATAAAATTTGTTTTATTAAAAATTTGTTATGATGATAATATTGCTAAATATTATAAGCAGAACAATTGTCAAAAGTTGAAGTGAAAAATTAATATTATACTATTTACTATTTTATATTATTACATTGCTATTTTAGAACAGCTTTTTGAATTTTTGTTGGATGTATATCATCAAATATTATCAGCAGAACAATCTGAGTGAAAGTTGAAGTAAAAATGGTATTATTACATTACTATGTTAGAATCGCTCAGTACAGTGTAAATATTAAAGGGGTCATATGATGTTGCTAAAAATAACATTATTTGGTGTATTTGGTGTAATGAAATGTGTTTATGCGGTTTAAGGTTAAAAAAACACATTATTTTCCACATACTGTACATTATTGTTTCTCCTCTATGCCCCGCCTTTCTGAAACGCGTCGATTTTTACAAAGCTCATCGGTCTGAAAAGCGAGGTGTGCTTTGATTGGCCAGCTATCCAGTGCGTTGTGATTGGCCGAATACCTCAAGCGTACAAGCGTGTGACGGAAATGTTACACCCCTACCATACTGAGATGCCGTGTCCGGCCGGAGCGACGAGACAAAAACATTACTTTAAATAATTAAAATAAAATGATTTTATAAAATAAAAATAGTACTTAAATATTATAAATATATATTATATTATTAAATATAATAAATTATATAATGAATATTACTATAACAATTTTATAGATTTTATTATAATTGTATTAATTTTATTTTAAAATTTTAATTTATTACTTTTTTTTGTTATTTGGCTAACATTCTGGTAAGGTTCACTCAAAGTTAAGAAGAAACGTTCTTCCAGTAACATTCATAAAACATTCGTTAATGTTACAAAAAGTTAGCATGTTGTTTATGCAGCGTTCATTGAACGTTTTTTAAATGTTGTTTCAGAACATCCAGAGAAACATTTTATTATTTATTTATATTATTATTTTTTTTTATTTATAACTATTATTTATATTATTTATAACTTTATTTGCAGGTTTAAATAATAATAAATAAACTGATGTTTTTTATATGTGCTCTCAGACTTGCATTCATCATGGCTCCATTGCTGGTACATTATCAGGCGTTTGGCTGTTCCTCAGTGGTCTGAACATTAAAAAAGTGAGTTCATTACAAAATGACCTTCATTTGACACTGAAATCTGTCTAATAAAGTGTTTTCCTTTGAAGTGATGCAGTAAATCAGGCTGAAGTAACCAGCTTTACTCTCATTTGTAGTCAGTTAGCTCTTCAGCTGCTTTTGCCTGCTCCTGTATTTGTCTGGCTCCTCTCAAAGGACATTCCCTTCACTGCTGCTACAGGAAGGCAGGGTGTCCGGAGGGCATTTGGATCTCAGTTGGTGTCTGAGGTGGGTCTGAGAGCCTTTTCCCTCCTGTCATCTACTGCTGCGCTTTCAGTCCGCTCTCCACGCGCGTTAATATGGACTCGGATTAGTTTGTTTTAACACCTTAAGTGTGATATTTAGGCGCAGGATTCTTTCAGAACAGCGTAGGAGGATGGATATGTTATTTTACTCTTTAATCATACTAATTCATGGAATTAATGCAGCATCCCGTTCTGGAAAAAACCTGATGCCGCACATGTGAGTAACTCTTGGCTTTGATATTGCGCGCGCTTCTCGATTATTATTACTAGTTAGCTTTGAATATCACAATAAATAATGTATTCAATGAACGCATTTACGTCTCATGTTCGTGCTCATATTTAACATTTTCTAAGTTATTTAAATAATGCAAACTACAAAAGTTTGTATTCATTTTGGAAATTCGCTTTGACGCGCATTTACGCGGATTTATTGATGAATTTGTGAGACGCTGGTTGAGGGAACTGGCTGACGTTCTGGAAAGGTTCAGTAACTTAAATAGATCATTCGTTTAAAGTTGTCTGGTCTTTAATACAGTTTTAATAACAAAAACGTTAGTTATACATCATTCACAGAACGTATTTTTTTCTGAAACTTTTTAAACATTATTACTTCCCAGCTAACATTCTCAGAACTTTGGCTAACGTTCTGGAAATGTTATTTCAAAGTTAGGAACAAACGTTCTTCTAGTAACGTTAATAGAACGTTTGTTCAAAGTTATCTGGTCTTTAATATTTTACTTAAAACATTAACACAAAAACGTTATTTATGCATCATTCATGGAATGTTTTTTCCTGAAAAGTAGTTTTAGTTGGATGTTCATGTGACTTCTTTTAATGTTCCTTCTTGTGTCAGAATGTTTAGAGAACATTCAAAATTAACATTCCCACAGTTCAGAATGATAAAATGGAATGCTCCCTTAACGTTTGCATAACCAATAAAAAATGTTTTTAGAAATAATAAAATAATGTTTTATATCGTAATGGGAACTTTAGCTAACCATTTTTAGAACATATTTCAGTTGTCTGGTACCTGTTTTGCAATAATTGGAGAACATTTAAAATGAATGTTCACATAATGTTTGCAAAATGATCAAATGAAACATCTTAATGTGCATAACGAAGAAAAAACACTGGATGTTTTGAATGTCCTAAGAACATTCAGAAATAACGTTTTCAGTGGTTAACAGAAATGAGTGATCAACAGAAATAACACAGACAAAGCACAGTTTCACTTCTTGGCAATATAATGTAGTGCCAATGATCCCAGACATGACAATAATCGCCTGGAGGTTCACTGTGAACTGATTATGTTTGAGGATATAGAACATTTTTACAGAGTGACTAATATATCAGTTTGGGAACTTAAGCTGTGTAAATCATGTGTATCTTGTCATCTGTTAGTGCAGAGATGATTAAGGTGATACATTTTTACTTATTTTAATGTTCTCTATTGCACAATTTGACTTGGAATGTCTAAGTGATTGACAGTCTTACAACTTGTTCTGCTGTCAAATTCATTCGCGTTTATTAAAATTACATTGAAGGACTATTAGAAATTCCAACTGACTAAATTATAAACGTTTATGATCCTTTATGTTTGGATTGTTGTGACCTAGTGGTTTAATATCTGGGCTTGTAACCAAAATGTCAAAATGTTGTCGGTTCTTCTGAATCTGCAGGTTAACTGAAGTGTGTGTGTTTTATCTCCAGGCCAAATGTGTGTGCTGAGCAGGAGGTGAAGCTCGTGGCCCAGATGCAGCCATGCGTCCAGGCCTTCACGCGGATGGTTAAAGCCTGGAAACAGGGATGCCAGGGACAGTCGTGGTGCATGGGCTACGAGAGGAGGTGGGTCTGATATTCACACACCAGAAACACTGACTGCACTGTAAGTAAACTTAAAGTCTGATAAGTGAAAATCATCCGCTACTTGTACTATTTCTGCAGGATATAGCATGCATATTATGTGTAGTATGCACATTTTCCACATAAATGTAATCTATTCAGAATATAAAAAAAAATAATATGTAGTATACACTATATGCTGATCTATATGCTGATCATTATGCATTTGTTCAAATCATTATTCCTAATATTATGCGGCAACAGTGTAGAACTTTAGAAATGTTTATTGTTGCATACTGTTTCACATACTTTAAAAATAGTATGCAGTATACATTATATGCTTTGCAGTATGCATTTTTTCAAATCCTTATCGCTAAAGTTGTGTGACAACAATGTAGCATAGTATAGTTTAAAATGTTTATTGTTGCATACTGTTTCACATTCTTTAAAAATAGTATGCAGTATACACTATATGCGTTGCAGTATGCATTTGTTCAGATCCTTATCCCTAATGTTATGCAGCAACAATGTACCGTAGTACTGTTTCAAATGTTTATTTTTGCACACTATTTAATATACTTAAAAAAATAGTATGTTGCATACACTATATGCCGATCATTATGCATTTGTTTAAATCCTTATTCCTAATGTTATGCTGCAACAGTGTAGAACTTTAGAAATGTTTATTGTTGCATACTGTTTCACATACTTTAAAAATAGTATGCAGTATACATTATATTCTTTGCAGTATGCATTTTTTAAAATCCTTATCTCTGTTATGTGACAACAATGTAGCATTGTATTGTTTCAAACGTTTATTGTTGCATACTGCTTCACATTCTTTAAAAATAGTATGCAGTGTACACTACATGCTGTGCAGTATGCATTTGTTCAAATCCTTATCCCTAATGTCATGCGGTAACAATGTAGCATAGTATTGTTTGAAATGTTTATTTTTCCTGTATTGTTTTGCATACTTAAAAAATTGTATGCAGTATACACTATATGCGTTGCGTATGCATTTGTTCAGATCCTTATCCCTAATGTTATGGAGCAACAATGCACTGTAGTACTGTTTCAAATGTTTATTTTTGCACACTATTTAATATACTTTAAAAAATAGTATGTAGCATACACTATATGCCGATCATTATGCATTTGTTCAAATCCTTATTCCTAATGTTATGCTGCAACAGTGTAGAACTTTAGAAATGTTTATTGTTGCATACTGTTTCACATACTTAAAAAATAGTATGCAGTATACACTATATGCTTTGCAGTATGCATTTGTTCAAATCCTTGTACCTAATTTTATGTGGCAACAGTGTAGCATAGCATTGTTTTAAATGTTTATTGTTGCTTGCTGTTTCACATACTTAAAAAAATAGTATGCAGTGTACACTATATGCTGTGCAGTATGCATTTGTTCAAATCCTTATCCCTAATTTTATGTGGCAACAGTGTAGCATAGCATTGTTTCAATTTGTTGCATACTATTTCACATACTTTAAAAAATAGTATGCAGTATACACTATATGCTGTGCAGAATGCTTTTGTTCCAATCCCTATCCCTAAATATGCAATAGCAGTGGCCAAGCATGACCCTTCTGAAACAAAAAGGCTATTTTGTTCTCATGCGTTACCTTTGTTCTCTAATCAGACTCTTTTAAGTGTAAGGTGTAGTTACACTCTTGATGAAAGCAGCAATTTGACAGGCATCTCCAGAGGGTCTTGCATACCTACAAGATAGAAGGCAAACGCCCTGTGCTCACGCTGTGACACCCCTCCCCTCGCACTGGCTCGTTTTCCTCCGTATACTTAGCATGTGAGAGACCCGGGCCCTGCAATTAGGTGCTATAAACAAAGGGCGCAGGGTTACGATTCTGGTGCCGAGATGCAGGACTGTAAACTACAGGGAGCGGGAAACTCTGGATCTCACGTTCACAGAAAGCATCATTAAAGGGTGGATAAGAGAGAAGCGTCGCTGATTATAGGCTCATGTGTTTGTGTTTTCACACATCGGAGCTCATCCACAAACATTAGTCATGGCCTGATCTCTCAGTCACTGACTAACCACAAACACACACCGAAAGGCCTTTAATAGCTCACAGAGAGAACGAGGATAAATGCTAAAAGCAGCTGATGACAGACTTACGTGTGTACTCATAAAGAAAGTTTACAGGTCTTAATCTTTACCTGTTGGCTAAATGGAAAAACAAATTAAAAACCATGTTTACATGCATAGTCTTCATTTTCTTTCTTTCTTTTTAACAATAGACTGGTTTCTTTTATGCTGCATATACAACAAATACTTTTGTGCTGTTCAATATACTTTCTTTGTGCAAGTTTAAGACAGGGGTGCCTTCCTTTTTCTTTTCTTTTTATTAAACAGTGGTTTATTGAACAAATTACTCTCTTTAAATAAATGTAATTATAATTAAATTTTTCTTAAAGCTGCAGTCTGTAAGTTTTGCCTCTTTGTCGCCATCTCTGTTTGAAAACCTGGATTTGCAGCAGTGTGCGGAATTATCTAGTTTGCGTGGGTTGTGCGCCGGCACGGCTCCAGCATGGATTAATCTAATGTTCTGAAGAGTATGTGTGGCAGTCAGTCACCCACATGTGTTTCATAAACACATAATCCTTTATGGATTACAATCCGCCATCAAAATGATTGTTTTTGATTGTTCAAAATGACTGTTGTGACTTATATTATAATTACGTCCATAAGCTTTTAGTGAAATTTGGAGTAACTCATTAATCTGTTGTTTGACCTCTTCATATTTAAGGAGAGAACTATAGTTTCTAAAGTTGAACATCACTTGTTTTGATTTTCAAGGGTGTAGAGTTTAGTAGAGATGCTATGACATGTCTCTACCAATATCTAGCAACAACTAAATTGTCCCTAGCAATAATTTTGATCAAACAATTAAATCTCTGTTGTCTGCCGTTGTGTCCCCACCAATGCCAAAATCAAACCTACACCCTTGATATTAAAAACATAGAAAGATGCTAAAGATTTCTCCCTTTTTCCACTTATTTCCCCCACAGAACGGCTTACTACACTGCATACAGACAGGTGTATCGACAGGAACACCAGACGGTTTACAAGTGCTGCCCAGGATGGTCACAGCTCAACGGGGAGGCCGGATGCCTGTATCGTAAGTCTTCTTTAAATGACAGTATAAATGATATAAAATCACAGTATTTGCTGAAAATGATACAAATGCCCTTGTATTAAGCATGTGTCTGTGAGCGTTGATGACAGAAATCTGTATTTATGATCATTTTGAGGCCTTTTTTGGACAGTTAATTCCTAATTATGGAGTTGGTCATAGTTATAAGAGTTTTATGCCCCAGGTAATTCATTTTACCGTTGTGTAAATGTGTCCAGATTATAGATTAGAGGGTTCTTAAATTTTAACATGAAGGTCCATGTATTTTTTTTTTTGCAACTGTTAAACCATGAAAAGGAACTAGTCACACATGTATCATAAAAGATATTGTATGCGCTCCAAAAAGATAACCAGTCCGTTCTAAGGTGCGTAAATCAAGAAAAATTGGATCTACCAAAAAACAAAAAATGTCCAAAGTAAGGCGATAGTTTTGAACACTGGCTGGTTATGTACTTGCTCAAATATTGATTTCGGATCATTTTTAACCAAAAAAAGTTACGGACTGCAGCTTTAAGGATAAAAATCTACCTCAGCTAATGTTGTAAACTATAGGCAGCCCTATTGCTTGCACATTACTATAATATTAAATGTTACAATTAACAAACTATTAAATTCAATTACTATTTATTTTTAGATGTAATCAACACTTTAAAAAATTGCAAATTGCAGTTTTTTCATTAACTTCTAAATCTAATGAACTACTGAACTACTGACGACGGTCATTAATCAGGAGATTCAAGCATTTCAGAGAGCTGTTTAATGAATTGTATATATATATATATATATAAGGCAAGGGTCTATCACAAAAATTACTTTAATATCTACAGGGTGACAAAAGTGCAAAAAAGTGAAAAGTGTCTTAAAAACAGACCGAAGAGCAGACGTTTCAGCTCATGCTTTCTTCAGTGCTCAAAGCATGAGCTGAAACATCTGCTCTTTGGTCTGTTTTTAAGACATTTTTACATTTTTTGAACTTTTGTCACTAGTCACACATTTCATTGTTCCCTTTTATATTGTTAACTAAAGCACCGTGGAATTAGGAAATTAGTGTTGAGATTTGCTCTAATCCTCTTGCGTGTGGATTCTGTAGAGTTTTATGGATTAGAATAGAGTCAATGCATTATGGTGATTTACCAGGGTACAGACAGGAAAGAAATGTGCACAAATTAGTTGTAGTGTGGACTTGGGCAGGTCTCTGAAATGTGCTGAAGAAATCCTGAAGAAATGTATGTATCACGGTTACCACTAAAATATGAAGCACTGAAGCAGCACAACTGTTTTCGACATTGCTAATAATCAGAAATGTTTCTTGAGCAGCAAATCAGCATATTAGAATGATTTCTGAAGGATCATGTGACACTAAAGACTGGAGTAATGATGCTGAAAATTCAGCTTTGATCACAGAAATAAATTACTTTTTAAAATATATATTTCAATTGAAAATAGTTATTTTAAATTGTAAAAATACTTCACTGTTTTTACTGTATTTTTGATCAAATAAATGCAGCCTTGGTGAGCAGAAGAGGCTTCTTTCAAAAACATTTAAAAAATATTTTTTAGCAGTAGTGTGATATGTCTATGGGATTTTTGCCCTTTTTATTGCATGCCAGGCAAAAATAAGAACAGAAATAGCACACCTAAAGCCGCATGATTTGAGGCATCATCATGTAGTACAAATGATAAGGGATGAGTTACACACCACATTTTAATACTCAGGGTTGGTGGTTTAGCTGAAATGATGAACAAAGCCCTGATCTCACTTTGTCTGAATTTGTTTTACTTTCTAAATCCAAAGGCCCTGGTCAGCAGCTCATCCCGTCTGCTGTCTGGTCTGGGTGGGGTCTTGTCATTTTCATTGTTCGGGTAATAAGAGAGCTCCTCTGATAGTTTGGCAGTGAGAGACTCTGGCTTGTCTTTTCCGAGGAGTTTAGCTGTTCCTAAATGGACCAGATGGGAATCCATTGATAGGATTTGATAGGACTGTCGTAGTCTGCATACTTCTACAAGCACCCCTGACGAAGAGTAGCCTAGCCGTGGACCCTTATTAGGCCCTGATATACTCACAAAAAGAATTTTTGAAATACCTGAACAGTGGTACGCCGGGTGGTCAGTTCTCTCGAATGGCTTGGGTATCCACAGACTGGCTAATTAATATTAACATGACTATAAATTCCCATGTCATTTGAGGTGCAAAAGAAAGCTTACATAATGTTAGAACATATGTATGTAACTGTCTGTAAATTATTCGCCAAATGATGGTAATTTTCTGCAGATCTGTGCCAGTTATGAAGGGATTCAAGTGAGGGATTGCATTATCAACTAAATTTTCTTCAGGGTTTACACTTTTTATTACCGATAAATTGACACAAACTGTGGGAGTGGCAATTTAAATTAGCTGAATAAAATATTTACATATTTATATAAATATTATTAATTATATTTATGAAAATATGTAGCTTAATAAAATATTTAAATATTTATATAAATATTATACATTATATTTAGGATATTTAGCTTAATAAAATATGTAAAAAAAAATATATAAATATTATAAATTGTTTATGACAATATTTCATTAAAATAATTACAAGTAATTTAAAATAATTCAAATCTTTAATTCCAGTTTCAATAACTGAATGTTTTTCATGGGTTACACTTTTAGTTACAAATGAATTCAGAAGATTTCCAATGATAGTTCAAAGGTGTTTAACAAATGATGCAAACTTTTCCAGAAAGTTAGCTTGGGAAGCTGTTTCTAACTCCAAATGAACTTTGTTTGTTTGAGGCTGATTTTGTTCAAAATGGCATCACACGATTTTGCTCTAGTGAGAGTAGACGGCATATTGAATTTGACTTGCATGAATATGAAGCTGTGAGAGACAGAAATACAGTCTAGAAATTTCAATAACCAAAATTTTGTTCAGGGTTTACACTTTTTATTACTGCTAAATGTACATTTTCAAACCTTTTCATTTACAGAATCTATGAGCTGCAATTTCATAATTATTTTTTATTATATTTATGGTAATATTTAATTAAAATAATTATAAATCATTTAAATTATTACATTTCATAATTCCAGAAGTTTCAATAACTGAATGTTCTTCAGTGGCAATTTAAACTAGCTTAATAAAATATTTAAATATTTATATTAAAGTACTTATATTTAAGACAATATTTAATTAAAACAATTATAAATAATTAAAATACTTAATTCCAGACGTTTCAGTAACTGAATGTTCTTCAGGGTTTACACTTCAAAGGTTTTCAAAGGTGTTTATCAAATGAAGCGAACTTTTCCAGAAAGTTAACTTTAACTTTTTTTCAAACTCCAAATGAAATTTGTTTGGGCCTGATTTTTTTTTTTTTTTTTAAATGGCGTCATAGTGCCTTATTTAATTTGACATGCATGAATATGTGGCTGTGAGAGGCAGAAATACAGTCCGTTCAATAGCTTGTTCTGTCTAAAAGCCTTAGAGTTTTGTGCATGACGTATTTTTTATGTTTTGTCGACTTGTTGATCCTCGTGTTCATTGCCAGATCAAACCTGGCGTCTATCGTGACTAAGGTCCATTGGGTCTGTTGTTCTCTTTTGGATGAAGAGACTCTATGGTTCCCAGAAGTGGTTTTGAGACTCAGGGTCACATTCGGTCAAAACAGTTCCTTGTACCCAAAGCCCTTAAACTAAATCCTTCTGTCAAATCAAGTTAATCAAGTTAACATCCACGGATCGTTTTTATCCTGGACTTGTGGCGGCTCGAGTGGTCTCATGCCAGAATGACTGACAGTTGCATAGCAGTTTATCCATTTACAACTTTTTTAGTCGTTCGTGGTAACTTTTATTTAAAATTTGTTATTTTATTTTTTTTAACTCACAAATAGCAGTTTCTACCTGATAAAATAGAGCTTGACATAACTAGAAAAAAATGTGTATTAACTGTAGAAATGTTTACGGTTTTATTAATTTCCATTACTTTTCCAGGTCTAGAAATCACACTTTTAAAATTCCCTCATATATCCAGGTTTTCCAGCATGTGAGAAACATGTCATTGTTGTAAAACATAATAAAATAAAATAAAATGAAATAAAATAAAATAGCAGTTGTTGAGGGAACTAATAAAAATAAAAAATAAGACATCAGTTTACATCTTGATTTTTTTTTTCTGTTGTAGCTTGTTTTAAAGCATTTTTAGTGTTATTTAAAATCATTTAAGACATCTTGCCCCCTAGTGGGTCTAATGGACACTTCTTTTGGGCCCAGATTTTACATTTTGGCAACCCAGCACATTGTCAAAATTGTTTATTGTGCAAAAGTAAATAAAATGTCTTTAGAATCAAACACTGAAATTTGTTAATATGACCATAAACTGCACAGACACAACAGTATGCAAAATGATTAACATGACATTGGCTGAGTAGGAAAATTAACAATTTAGCATAACGTAAACAGCAGCAAATGCCTGATTTTCAGTGTTTTGGAGTGTCTGGTTTCGAAATGTCAATTGAATTTTGATGGTTTCATGCTCAAGGGTGCCGATAATTCACTGCATTAAAAAATACAGTTTGCATGCTGACTACAATTAGTTTTTTCTTGTTACAAGTGAGCATTTATTTATTTATTAATAATCTGCATAGTTTTTTTTTCTTGTTTCTTGTTTCTTGTTTCTCAAGGATGAGTGCATGTCACACAATCTGCCCATGTCGGCATGTGCTTAAAACTTCTACCAAGTGATGGTGAATTTGCCACAAAATACTGTATTGTTTGATTTAACACATGACCTTTGACATCAACAAAAAACAGGGATTATTTCGACTTTTAAAAGTTAAAGGAATAGTTCACCCAAAAATAAAAATGAGTTGAAAATGTCCTCACCCTCAGGCCATCCAAGATGTAGATGAGTTTGTTTCTTCATCAGATTTGGAGAAATGTAGCATTACATAATTTGCTCAGCAATGGATCCTTTTCAGCAATTTTTCATTTTTTG